GGGGGGGGGGATATATCTGGTCAATGGCAGTGTGCTTTAACAAATAACCTGAAACAGAACAGTAACAAAACAATAGGGACAATAAAGAAACGGACATTATTGGCAACTATCAATTATTAGTTTGTAAATTTAATTTCAGACCAAAGATTATCACAACAGACGGCCATCTTGTATTTCAAACCGGAATCAATCATAACATCACTTTCAAGTCGACGGCGGGCGGTTATGTCAATGTGAATGGCGAGAATCTGGTGTCTTTGGCCCAAACGGTACGTGTGTTTATATAATAACGTGAATCTGTTGTCAGATATTGACACAATATTGATAAGCTGTTGACTAATTGTTGACCACAGGGACCTGAGAATAAGTTATTGGAGTGGCATTTGAAAACATCAGTTTAGGTCTATACATACTAATAGCTTAACTGTTATAAGTTCTCAGGTCCCTGTGATATTGACCACATACGTAAGTACTATACACACTATCACACACATAACTATACATATTCCGACAATTTGAGGTCGAGACTTCAGTAAACTGTAACAAATTATCAGGTCCCTGTGATATTGACCACATACTACATGTATGTACTATACACACTATTACACATAATTATACATAGTCCGACAATAAACATGTTAAACTTTTGATATCTTGGCACGTATTCATGAAACCGTTCTTATGCTCAAGCATGGATTATGTGCTCATAACCGGAACAAGAAATAAGGCTTGAGCACAAATCCATACCTGAGCATGACAAAGTTGTTTGTGTAGAAAGTAAAACTTTGATATCCTTGCATTTTGGCTGCCTTCGACTCGCAACTCTCGTGTAAGGGTTGGGTTATTTATAGTAACGCCGCCAAACTCGCCGCCAGTCGAATGCTTTACTCTCGAGTTAATATGGCGGCAAAAGTTTTATTATTTCATGTGCTGGATGATATTTTGGCTGCCGACGAAGTAATATGGTGCTTACTGCGCCAAAACCTCGCAATTTTACTTCACCGTAAGAAGATCCACATGAGGGAGCAGGTGCCAAGAATTGGGATGTTTGCAGAAACACTTGTGCCTCGTTATTCCATTGATGATTTTAAAACACACTTTAGACTACAAAGAGAAACTTTTGAGAAAATACTTGAAATAGTTGGACCAAGTCTCATCAGTGATCACGGTGGTGGTGCGGAGCAAGTCGAGCCTTAGAAAATGTTACATGCATTCAAATGGTACATGAGTAACCAAGAAAGTATGAGGGAAGATTCCAATTTGTTCCAACTCATCACAAAATTATCTAAACTCACATGTCGCATTCCTTTCCTTCGTCCGCCATCTTAACTCCCGCCAAACTCTCCGAAATCGAGAATTCCTTATACGACCTTCACCTTCCGTCTGAAATCTATTTTTAGTACACTCGAGTAAGAACCTAGTCTCGTTAGAACCCTGTGCGTTTGACTGCCCGAGTTATAACTCTGATAACTCGAGAGTTGCGAGTCGAAGGCAGCCCTGGTACTGTGCCACTCATTTTCTGTGTATCTGTCACCAATTCATGTGCACCTTTGAAAAATATCATCAATACTTGAGTACCTTTTATTTTTTATGTTACTTGTGTTTTCATAAAGTGGAAATCTTTTGTGAAGGAGTTGATGTAAACGTATAAAGTGATATGTGTCCTTAAAGAGTTACAAAAAGTGTCTATACTCAAAAATGTCGTCCGAATTCTTCAGTAACCACAACATGCAACAGATTTGCAATACTGGAAGTATCACCAGTCCTTCAAGAAGTTCGACAAAATTAATGGGAGAATAACTTCCATTTTGAGTGGATTATTTTCGAGATTGCGATACAATATCACTAGTTTTAGAATTTCTAACAAATACTTTTAGTACAAGAATCCTAGAACTGAAACTTGCAGGGATTTACATATAACCATAATCGTGTTTCCATTCAGTCGTTTGGTAACATACACATGGAGACGTGTCACGGTGTGAAAATTGTTTGTATAACAATGCCTACACGATCAAAGAATATTACGTATTAAGATAGGGAACGTATGACGACCTTATCTAATTAAAAGTCTGGGTCTTAATCAATCATATCTCCACTGCAACATTTTATAACGGCGAGGTATTTAGGTTTATCAGTGGTGTAGAGTTTCATGTACTTATTTGTACTATACAACCTGTACTGTGATAAACAGTCCTCGCTCTGGGTCGTACATTGATTCGGTGCGCCCGTGCCTGGACCAGACTGTGACCGTGCGTGCTTTTACAGTTGTAGCTACGATCCGGACCGGTACCACCCGGCGTTTACAATCCCCTCAATATTTACATAATCGGTTTGGTTACTGGCCGGTGAACTCCTGTAAAAGACAATGACACCATTACACCTGACTTACTAACTAGTTATAAACAATTATTGGTACTTGAATCAGTATACGATAACTATCGAGGACCAATCAAATTATACAGTGCTTCTTGATTCGTGTACGGTACGTACCCTTCTGTACGTGATGAGTTCAAATACCTAATAGAGTTTAACTGATTTATACTAAAAATATGCAGCTACTTTAATTTTGCAACGTATTCGTTCTAAAATATTTCTAAATAATCAATTCGTTAAAGTGTAATAACTTCCTTTAATAAAACATACTAAACATGTATGATATAAACAGTTTTGCTGATAAATAATACATAGAAACTAATTCACAACACGCGGGCAAAAAGTACCCCCAAACAATATTAATCAAATATCTTATGAATTATTTGCACTCAACCTCGATCAGCAAGACGGAGTGGGACAATCACTTGTTATTACTGGGGGCCAAAAGACACCTGTCACTACATATACACTATACTAAAGATATATAAATAGGGGGCATTCGTTTTAAAACACGTTTCGAATTTTGCCTACCTACATTTCCTTCTGAAAAGCTAATTCCTGCTTATAAAGAAGATACTTTCCTGAAAATTATGAAAAGACATATCGATAAACGAATTGAAATTTCGATAAATGAAAAATCAAATATTGATTGAAATATCTTTCTTGCGATAGGATTTATTATTTTTTAAACTTCGATTCGTTGGATACGAAATCTAATTTGAAATTTCTGACAAATCATATTCTAGCCAATCAAAATAACAATGTATAATAAGAGATGTCATCAGGTCAAAGGTCACGTAAAGGCTATGACATCTAAAAGACGCAGCAGTTGTGCGAATTCATTATTGTACGCATTCCTTTGATTCAGTAATTACTCACAAGACTGCAGTAGATGTCACCAATCATTACTAGGTAAAATAATTCAAGAGAATAGGTCATACAAATGTAAAGTTTACCGAAAATAATCAGACTAATATGTTTAATGACGCGTCCAATACCACCAACAAATGATAACAACTCCAGACTTCACTGGCATATGTACACTAAGACTCGGGCCTGTATTCGTGAAACCGTTCTCATGCTCAAACATAGATGTTGTGCCCGGGCCTAATTTCTTGTTCTGGTTATGAACTAATAATAAAATCCTATTTTGTCAATGATTTCGAAAACATTTGGAGAGACTTAAAGCCGAATACTGTTTTGAATGTTTACATATGACTTATTGATCGTCTGACATGAAGCGAGTGACGAGATATATATTGCTGGTTTGAGTAAAGAATCCATGCTTGAGTATGAGAACGGTTTCATGAATACGGACCCAGGCTTGACAGCAGAAGTTAAATAAACTGAACTTAAGACCATTGTCTACGTTGATTTTTCAAAAAACTTCCACTCACCTTTTTCACACTTGATAAATTGGACTCTGCGTTATTTATGCCTTCTACGGTTCATTGGGATAACCGGGGCCGTATTCATGCTCAAGCATAGATTATGTGCTCAAACCAATTTGCACTCACTTAAATCATATCAAATGATCAAAAAGTCAAAACATTGAAAACAGAATTCGGCTTTGAGTCCATTTAAAGTTTTACCAAATCATTGACATAATAAGATTTGTTTTATTATTTTTAACGGAACAAGAAAAAAGGCTTGAGCACAAAATCCATGCTTAAGCATGAGAACGGTTTCATGAATTAGGGCCCCGCTGTGATATTTACATGTGTATTTAATAGACGACCTTTGTTTAATATTTGCCAAATACCGAACCTTATATTTGCTTTCGGAAAGGGTGGTGACCGATGTTGTAATAACTGTGTCCCATCATATTGCTATTATATGAGGCAATAAGATATGTTTCAATCAATCTAAATAAAAATGAATGTTCAATAAAAAATACGAATCAGATAGTTTTCAAGAAAAATGGGAGGAGCGGGGATGGTTGGGGGTTGGAGTTGAGGGGGTGGGGGTTGGGGCTGGAGTTGAGGGGGAGAGGCGGAGGGGCGGAGGGGATACTCTGTGCACTTGGTGCAGGTAGGCAACGATGTACCAACTGAGTCACGGAGTCCATACATGAACCTGACAAGAAATCACCTTTCCGTGGGTATATGGATGATCATGTTCTCAATTATAATGACGCTTCAAGTGATAGCCAACGCGAGATTACCTCTTTGGCTGTGTATACAATGTGTTTAGCACACGCGCTTAGAACAGTTGAAACATAACATCTTCAGAAACGAGCCGTAATTTTGATACACACCAGCTTACTACATACACGTACGGTAAGTAGTACATGTAGCCAACTTTATTAGAGACGTATGTGCTAAAACATTTCAATCTACATTGAAACTATAATGATATTTTGTTTTGCATTCGGAGTTGTACCGATATATATAAATATTATTCAACGCGTGCCATTCATTGGTGAAGTGACAGACATGAATCGAGTCTGGCTTTCGTGAGGTCAAAATCCGTTCCGGTCAATCCAAAAGAGTACGTGTATTTAGTGCCCGCCACATGACATTCGGCGGGAAAATGAATTTGAAGCAGCAGTCGAAGTGATGCTGGATACCGGGGTCTATAGACACATGCGACCATGCTTATTGGTCGTTATTACATGTATAGGCGAACAATGCACATATACGTACAGCTTATTTCACGACTCTGAGACGTGGCTATATATTGACCCAGAGACGTATATACTACTATGGCTTTATACGTCTCTGATTGGCCTATACTTAGCATAGCGCGCATTATGATTTGTTTGCTTGCAAAGCTGTGTCATTCAAATAGATCATAAATATCATACAAAAACAGTTCAATACTTATATTTACGTTTTCTCTGCCTCTTATGTTCTTTTTTAACTTATAATTTATAATTAGAATTAAAAATGCCCGCCTTATCGACAGTCCACACAATTTCGTTCAATAGTTTGAACAGCG